AAAGCATTTCTAAAGCTTTGAGTGTTCACAGTGGCCTCAGTTTGAAACCACCATGACTCTTCATACAGTTGGCCATTTAGACAAACTGAGTAAACAAGTCACTCGTGCAGAACTACAAAAATCCTCTGCAGGGAAGGAGAACCTGCTGTAAGGATAACCATCTCAGCAGCTCTCCAACAGTGAGGCCTTGGTGCTTTGAGAGCTGTTCTTCCAGTGAGAGTCACTGTCAAGTAGATGGAGGATATTTGTGTCAATTGTATAATTTTTAAATGACTTGACCAAAAGTACAGCCAGCAAAGAACTTGTTGTGTTATTTAAACATGTTAAAGTATAAATTGATATGAGTGCCAGAAATATTTAAGATGTGGTCAGTTAATGGATGGCAGCAGAACTGAATAACCCACTTCTTCATGCTGTTGAAGAAGTCTGTTTCTTTTAGAGCAGGCAAGATTACTGCTAATAAGAAAGATGGTGGCATTCCTGTTTTCTAACAACTGATCAATGAAGAGGCTTTAATGTTCAAAATAAATTTGAAAAATATTATAGCAGCAAAAATTTCAGTGGCAAGTAAGACAATACATTATGATGCACAGTGGGAGTTACAAGTAATGAGATAATTGTGACAGAGTAGAAAGTTTGACTGACTTAGCCTCCAAGGCGAGAGCTATAATTCCAGCCACAATGGGAGCAGAGACAGAGGTGCCAGTATGACCATCAGTGCAGCGCTGCCAGACATCAGTGGTTACCTCCAAGGAAGAACAAACACAGTTCAGTTCCCACTGGTTTGTGGATCTGATTTCATACAGACTTTGTTCTATTTTTGATTATTCTGAATTATAATTAATCAGTGCTAAATTGGTTGTCTATAGAAAGCCTTTCATTGGACAATACTTTTATCTAGCTGAGTATACCAATTATATTTTTTTCAGGATATGTCTTCATGTATGCCTCTGAGTCTGAATGAACTTGCAAAGAAGTAGAGCTATACAAATATTAATATTATAATAACAGATGAATTGATTCAAACACAATCTAGACTTTCAATATATTATTGTGAACTGAGAAATACAAGGCAGTTCTCTTGAAAAACAGACTTGTCTTGTGTCAGTTGCCAATTCACATCTATCCACTAAATCACAGAAGGAATTTGACTCCAAATTAAATGACACAAATCAAAAAGTTATATAATCTGCTAATACCTCAATATTCAGTAACCTCTATTTTTTTTCTTGCATCCATCGGAAATCAACTCAAGTCAAGGTAAGACAAGACAAGTTTATTTGAACTGAACCTTTTAACACCATGACTACACAAAATGCTTTACATGAAACATAAAGGGCATTAAGACTTGTTATAAACGAAATAGAATCAACAAAGGCAATATTAGAAAAACATAGAGTTGAAACCAGAAGTTTACATATATACATGATTTCTTTAGACTTTTCCATGTTGTCACAAAGGGAAGCAGTGTGTTCGAGGTGTGCCTTAAAATACATCTACAGGCGTGCCTCCAATTAATTCAAATGTTGTCAATTAACCTATCAAAAGCTTTTAAAGCCATGACATCATCATCTGGGCTTTCCCAAATACTTAAAAGCAAAGTAATCTTAGTGTATGTAAACTTCTGACTTTGAAAAAAGTAAGAAAAAAATTCTCTCTCTCATTATTCTGGTGTTTATTAAATAGAAATGATTTTGGTAATCCTAACTGACCTAAAACAGGAATGGTTTAGTCTGATTTAATGTCAGACAGTGAGAGAAAAAAGGTTATATGTCTTTTTATACAGTGTATGTCAACTTCTGATTTCAACTGTACATCTCAGTGCTCTGATATGGAAATAAACTAAAATAACTAAATATCTTGCCATAATTATTACAATTGGACATTCTGGTAAAAAAAAATAAAAATAAAAAAAAATTAAAAATAAATAAAATTGAGCCAAAGAAGAACTAAATCAAAGTTGTTGCTCAGCTTCAGTCTCAGATCTTTGTGATATAGGTGGAGCTGTAAGTTCTTCATTGACAAAATATATTATCATTTCTCACTGGAAAGACTGTAGTGGGTTGCCACCGTTGCTGTACGATTAGGTGTGTATACGGAGTGAATCACACTAACTCTTCTGTGTGAGCAACCCTGGATGTTAAACTGGGCCTGGACCTTGACCCACATAGTCCTCTGTGTGTTTTTTTTTTGTTTGTTTGTTTGTTTGTTTGTTTGTTTTTTCTCCAGCTAGTTTAAAAGATTACATTAGTGGTTGACAGTTTGTGGACCCTTTTTTAATTTTGTTTTTGGTTTTTTTTGTGTGTGTTTTTTTTTTTTTTGCATAAATATGACCTAAAAAAATCATCAGATTTTTATACCATTTCTAAAAGTAGATAAAGAGAAGCCAATTAGACAGAATGAGACAAAAATAGGACAATTAGCCATTTATTTATTGAGGTGACTGATCCAATATTATATATCTTTGAGTGACAAAAGTATGTGCTCACACACCACCACCTTTAGTCTCTGGTTTGACCCCCCCTTGTGCTGCAATAACTGTAACTAAACATTTCCTGTAACTGTTGATCAATTGTACACATCAGCTCTCTCCAAACAAAAAACGTTCAACTCTGGGATGTTGGTAGGTTTCTACACATGAACTGCTAATTTCAGGGCTTTCTCCAAGATTTCTGTTGGATTATAATCAGGACTTTGATTTGGCCAATCCAAAACATACATTTTCTTCTTCTTTAACCATGCTTTGGTGGAACGACCTGTGTGCACAGAGCTGCTGTCTTGCCACATGACCTGTTTTCTGTCTGTGAATTCACAGACAGATGTCCTGACATTTTCCTATCAAATTCAGACTTCATTGTTCCTTCTGTGACTGTAAACTTCCCCAGTCCAGATCAAGCACAACAGGTACAACAGACTCAACACAGTGTTTTACAGATGGGATCAGGTTACTTTCCTGGAGTGCCGTGTTTCCTTTCATTATCCATAATGCTTCCTATTTTAACCACAAAGTCTCATCTGTCCACTAGACATTTTTCAAATGTCTTCTGGCTTGTCCACATGATCTTTAACCACATGCGCAAACTGCAAATTGGCAGCAGAGTTCTTTTTGAAAGCAGTAGTTTTTTTCCTTGCAGCCCTGCCATGCACAGCATTACTGTCTGGTATTCTGCTGATGGGGGACTCGTGGACATTAACATTAGTCAATGTGAGAGAAGGGTTTAGTTACTTAGAAGGTGACAAGGTTTCCTATGTGACCTCGCTGACTTTTGCATGCCTTGCTCTTGGAGGGATCGTTGTTGACTGACCACTCCTGTAGGGTTATTTTCCTTTATTTGCATACAATCTGTCTGTCTGTAGATTGGTGGACTCCAAACTCTTTAGAGATGCTTTGTAATCTTTTATAGCCTGATGAGGATCAACAGTTCATTTTCTGAACTCCTTAGAAATCTCTGGAATACACTACCACATCCATTTTCCATTTTCTATACACCGCTTAATCCTCATTAGGGTCGCGGGGGGGCTGGAGCCTATCCCAGCCGACTTAGGGCGAAGGGAGGGGACACCCTGGACAGGTTGCCAGTCTATCACAGGGCCACACTTAGAGACAGACAACCAAGCACACTCACATTCACAACTACGGACAATTTAGAATCACCAATTAACCTCAACATGTTTTTGGACTGTGGGAGGAAGCCGGAGAACCCGGAGAGAACCCACGCTGCACGGGGAGAACATGCAAACTCCACACAGAAAGATTCCGGTGCCCCCACCGGGACGCAAACCGGCAACCTTCTTGCTGCGAGGCAACAGTGCTACCAACTGCGCCACCTTGCAGCCCCACACTACCACATACTGTATGTGTTGTAATGATTAGGTTTTGATACGTTTCTGTTCTTTAAATGAAATAGAGGCCACTCACACCTGACTGTCATCAAACTGATTAAAAAAAACCTGACTCTAATTCCATCCATCCATTATCTATACACCGCTTAATCCTCACCAGGGTCGCGGGGGGCTGGAGCCTATCCCAGCTGACTTAGGGTGAAGGCAGGGGACACCCTGGACAGGTCACCAGTCTATCACAGGGCTACACTTAGAGACAGACAACCAAGCACACTCACATTCACACCTACGGACAATTTAGAATCACCAATTAACCTCAACATGTTTTTGGACTGTGTGGAAGGAACCCGGAGAACCCAGAGAGAATCCATGCTGCATGGGGAGAACATGTAAACTCCACGCAGAAAGATCCCTGGTGCCCCCACCAAGATGCGGACCGGGGACCTTCTTGCTACGAGGTAAGAGTGCTAACCAACTGCGTCACCTTGCAGCCTCTACTTCATTATTGTGTCTGATTTATTTAATCAAAGTCTTTCGATCTACTTTCAGGATTTGCATAAACTCTAATCATGTTTAAGGTCATAGTTACATGGAAATGTAAACAACTACGTGTGCAACACTGTACATCAAAGAGAGACTGAATTAAGTGTGTAAAGTTTCAAGTTTCCAATCTACTGAGTTTATACTAAAGCTGTATTTAGCTGGCCTCCACTAACACACTGTACTGGAGAGTTGGTTCTCTTGTCACCCTGTTTAGATTCACAGAAGCCAAAGCATAATATTTACTGTGTGAAGCACAGTGGAGGACCAGGCCACAGAGAGACACAGCTGGGAGCCAGAACCAAGACCAGCACCAGCTCCAGATTCTCAAAGCTGGCTGTTAAATGAAGCGAAGCACTGCATGCTTTCCTCTTAGTCTGGTGCTCATATGTGAGCATAAATCATGTCTCTTTACTCATCTATCTCTGACTTCTACTGTCCACATGACATGAGAAGCACTCCACAGTATAAGCAAACAGAACCTGCCCTTATCTAACTCCCCCTCAACCCCTCACCCCACCCCAATGTGCACACACACACACACACAAACACACACACACACACACTCAAATAACACTTTCTAACAACCTTTGTACACACTCACGTCATGTCATGCGTTCAAGTGCATGGCTTGGGGGGGTTGTTGTCGTCATCATTACAGTGATCAGTCTTTAGTGAACTGTTAGCTGGGAAAATGACCAAAGACACAAATATGACTGTCATGGTCCTGTGCATATCTACTACACCTAACCAGTGGGGTGGGCACTCACTGAGCACAGTTTGATATTTTGATGGCAAGGCTTGTCTGGTACACCAGTGGCACTGGGATCAGAAAGACTACATTATGACACACTGCATATCTCACATATTGTGACAGTCATGACCAGATATATTCACTACTTTCTTACCTTTAAACACGGGACACTCCACATCATGACACACTGACAGTTTTAGAATACTGTGGAGAATTTCTGCCAAGTGCAAATAAAGGCCTGTTTTTAAAGCTGGAACCACTTTTGAACAGTTGGAAATGCTGTGGTCAATACACTGTGGGTTTATACAGTAACCATCTGCCATTCAAACTGCCATAGTGCAAAATGTAGAATAAAAGCAGAATTCAGACTGCAGAGCTGTTTATTTATATCATATGTCTTCTTTTCTGAAACCATTGTAAATTTTTCTTCAACAAAATTTGAATGTTTTTTTATGGAAAAATAGTTTGCTGACTCTCTGGTTAAGGAACAGCTGTCTGCATCATCTTCTGCTGCAACATAGACCTGATCCTGATAGTGATCCACAATAATTATTATTTTTAAAATGACACTCCTGTTTTTGAAGACCCCACAATAAATGTAACCTGAACAAGCACAGCCACATGTCTGCTTGGACTTTAAGTAAAAATGTGACACTTGAGGTGTTACTGTAGCCAGAAAAAGAAGATGGAGGTGCAGCCATTACTCCTTTTTAAAGCTATTAATAGTTTACAATGTGTTACCTTGTTAAGAAAGCGTTAGTGGCTCACAGATATTATTATCTGTTAGGGTTTGACCATTTTTGTTTTGAATCATCACAAGCATTACACATATTGTACACAATAGCATGTATACATAGTATATTGAAATAGTCATTTATCCATTACTTACAAGCTTCCTCTCGTTAAACTCCCCACTGCTGTAGGTTGTAGCCATGATGGAGCTGCAGGCCTCTAGGTACCAGGGCTTGTTTCCATTCTCCGTGGTGCTAGAGATGGAGATGGTATAGATACTGCTGGTATAACCATCACATGAACAGTGATCCCCCTGCCGACCTCCGTTACCTGATGCCCAAACAAAAATGGACCCCAGGCCTCTGCGTCCCTGTTTGACATAAATACAGTGATGTGCAGCTGTGATTCCAATCAAACATATCAATGTTGAAATAGAAGTCTGCTCTGACACTTTTTGTTTTTTCTTTACAACCTTCTTGATGCCTTGCTCAAAAGCCTGCTTGGTTAGCGGCCCTGGACCATCTACTGTCTTGCCATCATCTTTTGGGCCCCAGCTGGCACTGTAGATATGAATGTAGTCAGGTCGAATTCCCAGGGACTTGGCCTCCACTATATCAGTCACATCACCATCCAGCATTCGAATCCCTGTGTCCAAGGTAACATCATGCTCAATACACAGACTTCATATGGACTGAGTGTAAGATACCTTCAGTAGAATGCATTTAAATACAGTGCCAAAACCAGTACACACATTATTCCAGTTTTACAGCCCAATATCTGACAGTTGCATGACTTTATTTATTTGACTTTACACACAAAGCATACGTTAAACTTATAAAACATGACACGTTGCTGTAGTTTAAGCCACGTAGCAGTATGTAAATAATCTACATTTAGCAGCACCTGGTCTGCCCACACTGTAAAATGGTGTTTACAGGTTAATACTGTATAACTATCATTTCAGGGGTAAAGCTCTTGCCCACAAAGATTTGATTCATGGCAGAGAAACTTCAATTGCAGTAAACCATAAATTTGATGAAAAGGACAATGTTACAAAGAAGTTACAGTCTGTAGAACTTCAACAATGCTGTTCCTTTTTATCTTGTACCGAGCTGATTAGTGTGCTTCTAAACTTCATCCTCTTTTTTGGACACTGTGTCTATTGAGTCATATTTGCTCATTAAGTTCAACAGTTCTATCGCACATACTCAGCTAAGTTTAATTGCACAAACCAGCGTGCTGCTGATGTGGCAGTAAAGATATATACCACATAGTCACAAGTTCTCTGGTTTCAACACATCCAGGGACATGTAGCACATTTCACCCTCTTTCCCCTTGTGCTTCATAACTATCTAAACTGACAGTTTAAATTTTTGTTTAAATTTGTAAGGTCTATACCTTACTTTATTAAGCACTGTGTGATAACGTGTTGGACACTGCACTATACAAATAAAATTGAACTGAATTGAATGTGTTAAAAGACTCACCATGTAATAACACAGCTGTCAGAACGGACTACAGTATACTTTACATCAGAAGTATACCCCTGTGCAATATCTCTTAAATGTCAAACAATTCTAAACTGTGTCACTTCACAGTAACCTGCATTACTTCTAAGTTGAACTGTTGATACTTCTTTTTATGCAAAATTAAAAACTAACTATTAATTAAAATAACACTTGCACTATATAAAATGTCCCCATTACCTTTTGCACTCATGTAATACCATATCATCATATTCCCATCTTTGCACGCCAATGTTCATCAGGCTTATCTTTATCTTCATAATTAACAAAGCTAATTCTAACAGTTTTTTACTGAAAAGCAAGCATGGGTGTTTTTCTTAGGCACTGTCCATAAAGGCTGACATTGTGAACTGCCCTTCAGAGTGTCTGAGCTGTCACAGAAACACTGATTTCTATTAATGACCACTGTAATAAGTTTAAGGCCCTAGCCTTTTTGTTTTTCAAAGCTGAGTTGTGAAAGTAGTGTACTGTGTGTGGTGTCATTTAAAGACAGTGGCCACTGTGACTCTAATTGCAAGTCTCCAATGTGACTATGAATCATTCTATACTTCCTGATTATTGCTGCTACTGTGATTCCATTGATATTTAGGTCACACCAATCTGCATCCTTTTCTATCTTTATGAAGTCTTACAATCAGAATGATGCAGACATGCAGATAGACAGAGACCACAGGTCCAAAACTGAGAAAGGTGCTCACAGGTAGCTTGATAACCATGTTCTTGCAGTTAGGCTGGTAAGAAGTCACAGCTGTACTCAGTTTAGTTTAGAAAAGTACTGAGATGCTGCTGTGTGCAAGTGAGGCTGTTAGCTGTTGCGACCTCCACCATGAGCTGAACCACTACTTTTTCCTCTACATTACCAAGTTAGCTTCCTCTGTGGTTATATATGAATGCTGTCATACCTGAAGCAGTAATGTCACATGATTCTTATTCCTTAGAGCACTAAGAGTTAGTTTAATTCTAATGTCGTTACTCTGGCATTGTACCTAAAGCAATAAAGAGATCAAGCAAACTTTCAGTGCATTCCTTTTAGCTTAATGCTGATGTTGGCATAGTAACATGCTCAGAGTGACAATGTTATCATGCTGAAGTTAAGCAGGAATAATCTTTACCATGTTCACCATCTAGCTTTACAGTGTTAGCCTGCTGACACCTGCTCATAAACAAAACTAAGCCAAAATATAGTTTGGCCTGGTGATGATACTAGATAGAAACTATTAACAAAGTCATTGCAATTAATTGTCTTAGATCATCTGAAAAAAAAAAAAGTTTGCTCATCCATGTAGTAGATTTCAGGACATACCGCTCAATGAGTGAACTTTGAACTGATGTAGGTGCAAGAAAAAAATCCAGCTTGTGGCAAGTATGAATGTCTCCATCAGATGACAATAATAGCGTGGTTTAAAAGCTGACAATGCAATGAAATGAAAAGCCTCACTGATACTTGCAGGTGTTCTTGTAAAAGAAGGATAAAGAACTCCACCTCCAATATGAGCATTGTAGGCAATCCCAACGATGCAGTGGGAGTTGTTGGCTGCTGCTGCAACTTCACCTGCACACCGAGTTCCATGTCTACATGTCAAAAGAGCAGACATAGAAATTACATCCTGACATAAAGCCGATATTTGTTACAATACCAGGTCAAAGGGCCAATTACAGTTACAGTGACCTAACAGTGTAAATAAAAACATTATTTTTCCTTTTACACATCATTCACAGAAGTGCTACCAGAGAGAGCTTATAGGTATTCCTCTCTTCACAGACTCAGCAGAATAATTATTATTCTGAGGCAGATACATCATTTATCAGACCTCTTTTTACAGAAAAGGATCCCAAGGCATTGGGGGATCCCAAGGCATTCCCAGGCCAGATGAGACATATAGTCCCTCCAAAAGTTCTGGGTCTACCCCAGGGTCTCCTTCCAGCCAGATATGCCTGAAAATCCTCCTAAGGGAGTTGCTCATAAGCCATCCCAATTGGCTGTCTGGATCACCTCAACTGGCTCCTCCTGAAATAGCAGTCACTCTAGTCCGAAATCCCTCCAGATGTCCAACCTACTCAACTCTAACTCTAACTCTAGGGCTAAGCCCAGCTGCCCTGGATGGCTTGGAACAATGACCCTGATAGCCCATACTCCTGCAGTACCCCCCACATGGCCACTCAGGGGACACAGCCATAAGCCTTTTCTAAGTAAATGGTCTACACTTATATAGCGCCTTTCTACCTTAGTGGTGAATGGGTATTTCTCATTCACTCATTCACACACCGATGGCAGCAAACCTGTTATGCAAGGTGTTGCCTGCCATTGGGGGCACCTTCGTGACTTTGACACTTCGATCTGTGGGGGGGGGAGCGGGGGAACGAACTGCCAACCTTGCAATCAGTGGACAACCTGCTCTACCACCTGAGCTACAGCCACCTTTTTGGAAATTCCTTCCCTTTCCTTCCTTTGAGTCTGTAGGCTCAGCCTCCTCAGCAGAAGACATGTTAACCAGGTTGAGGAATTCCTTGAAGTGCTCTTTCTATCACCCAGCAATATTCCCAGTAAAGGTCAGCAGAATCTGATCCCTGGAACTCACATTAGTATTTTCAGTTAGTTTTGTCATGGTACTTGTGCTAAACAAAGAAAATGTATAATTATACTTTTAAGGTATTAGCACTGAGGCCCACTCATTCACCAACCTTATTTTAAGGTTGTTTGTCTTGTCCTTTCAAGTAATCTGTGTCTTCCAGTATTTTCCTTTCAGATTTTTGATGTAATTTGTGTCGCACCATTTCAGCAAAATCAGTTTCATATTTTCTTGATATAACCTGATTTGCCCCAAATGTGTTTATAATGTTGAGCCTGCCAACAACCCTTCTCATTATATCTTATGTCGTATGAAAAGGTGGAGGTCCTCAGAAAAGTGAACTTGACAAAGGCTTCCTATCAATCAAAACATGNGAAAAGTGAACTTGACAAAGGCTTCCTATCAATCAAAACATGTTCAGTGTGACACAATTAATAATAATTGCCTGTTTGCATGTTTTGATTTGTTTTATTTTTTGTCAGCTGTGCTGAAAACATCTCATCATCATAAAAGATATGTTCCTGACAATCAGCAATGGTGTTTAAGTGTCAGTACTATTTCGTTCATATTGAGAGTGTGCTACAACTCACATATAAAGCAAGTCTGTAGGATGACCTTCTTTCACAAATGCAATATTGTCAAAATCAGGAACATCCTGTGTCAGAGTGATGCTGTAAAACTAGTCCATGCATATGTAACTTCGAGGCTGGATTATTGTAATTCCTTATTATCCGGATGTCTCAGTAATTCCTCTTAAAAAATATTACATGACACTTAACTTGTGTCTTCTCTCTTGTAGTTTGTGTTTTGTCCTCCCTGCAGGTCTCTCTGGATCTGGAGCTACATGTCTCTGATCTGCAGTCTGACTCATAGTCAGGTCATAACTTTACTATGTTAAGTGCAATAAAATGACATACGTTGTGAAATGGCGTTACATAAATAAAACTGAACTGAACTGAAAAGAAAGTTTTAATAATAAAGTTGTTTTTTTTTTTTTTTTACACTATTTTGCTGAGTTTAAATTATTAAAATGTGTGTCATGATGTCAGATCAACAGCAGGAACGATGACATAGTGGAAATATCATCGATGAACTGCTGCCATTCATGTGTGTGTGCACTGAACATTTGGTGCCAGGGTTAGTGTGTGTTTACAGCTGGACCACTACAGTTGATCTGTGGCCAAATACTGAGGCCAGAACAGCACAATACGAAACATGACATGGTTGACATTTAAGAACAGAGTGGAAGGAGAGGTGGACCTTGAAAACCAACAGACTAAATCCAAAACAAAACCAGGTGCAGTTAATTATTTTCTCTGACACCAGGTCACAAACTGCCAGAAGACTTTCTGTTTCATCCTTGATTGTCATGAAGTTGACAACAGTACTGAAGGCACAACTATCTTCCTCATACTAGACAACTTTGAAAGAAGGAGGTGGAAGCAAAGGACTAAGGGCTTAATTATAAAAACATATTAAAAGATTTCTTTTTTGGCAAAGCATTTAAAAGTAGTGAACTATGTAGATTTAAAGTGAAGTAGTAGGTACTGAATGGTAAAGGAAGGAAGCAAAGAAAAAATAATAAATTTTAAAAAAGTTTGTCATTTGATAAATATCAAAAAAGGTGATGTTTCTTCACAAAGAAAAAAAAATCCCATTCAAAGTCTACATTTTGGTGTAAAATGGTGCCTGTTGTGAGCAGCAGAAGACAACATGCTTTCCAAGACCAGTTTAAAAATCTGTCCACATTGTGCAAATAATAAACACAAATTTCGCATCAATAATGGGAATATTAGCAACTCAATAACTCTGTTTTACTTTGATATTAGTTACAATCACTGATTTTTTTTTTCATCACTACTTTTGCCCAAGCTGAACCCTGAACACACAGAAATGTTCTCCTCATGCAATGTCATATTAAATGATTTGATTTAATATGTATGATATTTCATGATATCACTAATTTCAATCAACAGTGCTCGGTTGGTAACAGTGCAATATCCACCAACAAATACAGTTTAACAGCTAAGAAACAAACAAAGGTCACACCTTTGAGAAAAAGTCCAAAGCAAAAAATATTTCAACTCTAACACTTTTTATTTATTCTGTGTGTGAACATTTGTCTAAAGGTAATTACACAGTACAGGCCAATAAGGACCATGGGGAAGATTTCTAGCAAACACAAACACACTCTGAATGAGAAAGTCTTTGACAAAAGTATAACGTAATATAAGTTTGCTTGTTACAAAGACCCCTCATTCGTGGTGCTACACCTGGTAACACATAAAGTAACCCAGAGAGTTTTCAGAGTGAAAACATGAATCATAAATCATTCGCACTTATACTAGTAGACCGCAACCCGTTCACAATGGTGGCATAGCTGAGTTGTAAGGTGTTCGCCTGGCTGAGGGAGCAACTTGGGGTTTAATATCTAGCCCAAGGACATATTGGCACAAAGAAGGACCAGAAATCAAACCAGCAAACTTCCAATAAGTGGACAACCCACTCTACCATCTGAGCCATGACCACTCAATAAAGTTGAAAGAAATTCACACCTTTCCTGCTGTGGCCATTTGCCTCTTTAAGTGGTTTTGATGTGTCATCAAAATCATTTTTTTACACATGTCTTGTTCAAAAATTTGCCAAAAAAGAAACCCTTTGCAGGCAATTGTGGATGTAATGACGCTGAAAAAACAAAAAAATAAAACCTCCTCAGTCAAATGGAGCAGTCAGGTTTTGTTTCCACAAAGCAGAGGGAAGATGGCAGGAGAGACTACGAGGAAAATAAAACATACTGGATCAATAAAATAAATGCAGCATGGTTCAGAAACAGTATACAGAGAAGCAAGTTGTCAGCATGTTTTTGAAAGATACATTGCAACATTTCAAAGTTGTAAAAATGTAAGTGGTAAAATATCTATACAATGTAAAGCCACTATTTTTTCCCAAGTGTTGATACCACCTGTGGGCTCTGGGAAAAATGTTGCACATGTTGATTCCATTTTGGTTTGTTTTTTTGTTTTGTTTTGTTTTTTGTAAAATAAAATAAAATAAAATAAAATAATCAAAGAACTTTTGATTTTACTTTTTGTAACTGATGGCAGTACAACTGTGTCATACGTTACAGAAGATATTTCTGAGTTTCCTCTACTTGTAGCTATGGTTGTGCTGTTTCCATTGAGGTGTAGAACTTTATATTGCCTTATATTTAAATTAGAGCAAAAAGAAAAAAGCATCCAGAAAGATGAAGACATTGGTGGTATTGTTTCTTACACATTTTCACTGCGGGAGTCATAACGTGGTGTAGGGTCATGGTCATTTCCATTGACATCATAACTTGCAAGGTGGTCCTGATAAAGAAAATAGATCACAGTCACCAGAATTAATATATGCAGTGTTGCCCGGTGCTTTTTCTGTCACTGTTCTCTTTGTGAGCAACTGGAGTGATGAATTGAAGCCAAACGCCCAGGATGTAACATGTGAAACTGCATTCCTAAGGACATTTTGATTTTTCAACTGTATTCATATTTTGAGATGGCTGAGGGGATAACATACATAGTTCTGAGCCAGATCAGGGTGGTTCCTCTCGATGCCGTCATCCAGTATTGTGACAACCACATTTTTGCCGGTGTAGCCCCTTTGCCAGGCTGCCATAATATTCATCTCTGAGCGACATTGGTGGCTCTTATCATTGCAGTGCTACAGGAAACACAGATACAAACACCAAACATCTTGTCTTGTTTCATTAAAATGGCAGTATGACTGATCAGTGTACTAAACTTACAATGTACCACATGTTGGACCATTTAGGGTCATTGAAGTGAATGATGTTTGGGTCACTTTGGGCATACCTTTTCACTCTGGGTTTTACTACCTGCTGTTGGGCCCAGTCCACCTGATGATGGAAATTAAAACAGGAACATATCACATTATCTTGCTATACTGCAAAACTTTCTCATTACTTCAAAAGACCAACTTGTTAAAACTGAACTTTTGCATTAAAACACGCTATGACAGAGTTGTTATAACAAGAAAAAACACAATGACAAAAGGTTCTGTCAGTGCTTGAAGACACAGTGTAGCTCCGAGTAACAATATGACGATGATGACGATACCCCCATCATGGACCTACGCTGATTTCATACCAAATAACAGGGATTATACCCAGACGCACAAACAAAAAAGCATCCCACAATTATAACACAGTGTAAAGATATCAGTTCTGTTCAAATACTGCTGTAAACTGTTTCACTCTCTCAGCAATTCTAATTAACTCTTATGCAAGTTGTAGTGTACATCCTGCCACATGCATGCGAGTACACTAGAACCTACTGTAACTCATAGAACACACTGCACTAGAAAAGACTCTACAGATTCATGGTTATTGTTTTAGGGCACTCTGCAAGGCAAACCTCAGCCATGGGCATTCAACCACGGCTACACAATTATTAAGGCTACAGACCAAACCCAAAATCCTTTCTTTTAATAGCACTGAAGTGAAGCGTTTCTCTTTAGAGGGAAACAAGCAAACTGCTTTTTTTTTTAATAACAATGAAACTCATTCCATAACACGTTTATTCCTTATTGTTTAAATGGAAAAGAAAACCCCGTCTTCAGTCTTCACCCTGTCAGTCTTCTTAAGTCTTGCATAGTAGATTTTAGAACAGCATTCTCTTCATAACTTTATAAACTTATGAAGCGAGAAAAAAAAAATACAACTGATCTGTGCCTCACCTTAGGATCCATGTGAATGAAGCTGTGAGGGCCCTTCAAAGAGTACACAGCTCTGCGAACCACTCTGCTGTGGTGGAAATGGTAATGATCATCCAGACTCCCTATCTGATCAAACACATCCAACAAACCAATTACAATAATGACACTGAGACCTCAAATGTTTAGCATTTATTCACATCATCCATGTAATGACTGAATTTACCTCAATGGCTTTCAGACCATTTTTTAAAATACAAAACTTAACAGAGACTTGATTCTGCAAAGCTTTCCACATCCAAAGCACATGTGCCCCTTCTGTATAGAGAACATTATGTCACTTAATAAATATGCATGCTCTCTTTGACTGTGGACCAAAAATGTGAGCAGGATTCTTAGCACATGTGCACAGAGCACTCCTGTTCTTCAGACTACAGTCTACTCTGACTCAAACCACACCAGTCTTTAAAAAGTGCATTTATAAACATCCAGAACAGAAATCTGAGCAGTGGATACAGCCAGCTTCAAAATTCTTGTTTCATTTTCTTGACATATTAGAGTCAAAGCTTTCATTCTAGAAATCTAAAAATACTGTCTCTCAAAAAATAACATTTGCCACATTTTTAGAAATAAAATGCTCTCTATATCAAGCTGTCAAAGATGGATTACCAAATCCCTCTATATCCTGCTTCACAATATAGATAAGAAGAAATGGGAAAAGCTTGGTGTAGGTAATTTCAGACTATGAGAAAAAAATTGAAAACCACAGCAAAAAAATAAACTAACAGATATATCATTTAAAAAAACACCCCAGTTTACATATTTATTGCACATCATCTTTTGTGTAGTGTGAACAGCAGCTGACAATTTTTTTTTCAATGTTATCAAATAGTAGATCACAATGTTGTGAGTTCATGTTTTTCACTAAACTGGCTCATAGGTCCCTGATGAGCAGAACCACAGACGCATAGTGTCCACTACAGTGCGCAGTTAGATTTTCACTTAGAGAAAAACATTGACAAATCCATATGGTTTAAACTTTTTTACAGCATTTTTCTGTTTTAGCTGTATTTTATTTCTCGTGTTTTTGAAGTACACAAAACATATCAGTACAAGTACACAAATAGACAAGAAATGTACAAATCTAATTTAAAATAATTGTTAAAATAGTGCATGATTAGTATTTGCTTAAACCTCACCTTCACCAGTAAAGAAACTTATTTTTACTGTAGCGTAAATCGACATTCAGAGCAGCAGTCACACAGCAGTAGACAGAAGCTGTCATACCTGTCCCAGGTTCCTGTATCCATATTTTGCTGCGATCTGATCCGCTTGTTGTGGACCTCCTGCTATGCGCACTGCCCAGTGGTTTGTATACAACTGTGCCACCTCCGACCCCCCGCTGTCCACACTTAATAACATGACAAGCAAAAGTAGAGCCATCCTGAAATTAAATTGAAGTGGGCGAACAGAAATACGGGTTGGGTGAGCGGCGCCGCTTTGAGCACAGTCCGTCATTAGTCCATCATGCGTATCGATCAGATCCACTGTCCGGTGGAGAACTATGTTCTCATCCTGTAGAGGAGCTCCGTCAACTCTGCTGCTCCCACCTGCACTCATTTACCTGCACACAAAGACGCAGATTTACGGGGGAACGAAGAAGATACGTCCCCGTTAATATATAGAACATGTGCATCTGTCTCCCCTAATAAAAACATGGAAAAAAGAGATGACTTTTATTTTGAAAAACCAGTAGAACGTTGCTTATAGACGCAATGTGTTCTACAGCTCAGTGTTTATAGCACACTGAGATAATTATTTGTCACTTCTTTGTCTGTGTATAATGTCAGTTCATTAAGTTAAATTCATTTGTTTAAGACACATGTTTTGTTCATTCTTATCGTAACTTCCAAACGCCTTCAAAATAAAACAACTCTGACTTGCTTTAACAGCAATTTTCCATCATGTCAGTTTTCTCAAACAAACAAATAAACAAACAAAAAGAAAAATCTCTGGGGAGTCTTAACTCTCCAATAATGCATTTTGTAAAATCTGTTCATAAGATGGTTTTGTTTCTTAATTTGATGAGTTGAGTGAACTCTATAGCTGTCCATTTATTCAAATCCTCACTTAAGTCAAAATGCCTCAAGTTATATGAATGTATACCTACCCACACACTGACACATGAAAATCAATTATATATGCAAGATGCAAATGTACAAAATTAAAAAATCTGCTGAGTCACCATAATTTTTTGTTCCAAAATAGGTTGGTGCAGATTGCAAATATACAACACTGCAAATACTATTCAATCATATACTTCAGTCAATACAAATAATTGCAGCATTAATGAATGAACCAGGTAACATTGGAAAGACCCATTATATCTGTGTCATTTTCTACATGACCGATGCAGACTCCGACACCAGACTATGGGCTCATTGCCCTCCATATGAACACCGAAAACACACAGGGCTCCTGTGAATGCTTCTGAAAGGCTTTGAATCTGCACTTCTTCTTCTTCTTCTTTTTTTTTTTTTTTATACAGTATATAGCAGCTAGTTAAAGGTTGGGCTGTAGCCCTGTGTCTGTTATTAATCCTGAAGGGTGCTGAATCCAGTGCACTGCCAGAACACTGGATTTTTCGAGAATTTAGACTTTCCACTGTGATTGGAAACTGTTATTGAAAGCATGTAAAAAAAAACACAGCACTTCCCAAGTTTGGCAGCAACTATTTCCACTATTTCCTGATAGACAATTTCCTCATAAAGTCTCTCCTCCTAACAGGCTTTTGTTTTAAGCTTGTTTCATTTTTTTTTATTGGCACATGCTCTGTTGGCTCACATGCAGTATGCACAGTCTATAGGATCACATATTTTGGCCTGCATGCGGACTGGGACGAATGACAAAATTTAAGTATCCTTGCAGATGTGTGGATGTGGAAAGCAGGATTTTAGCCATACAGTCTGGAGCTGCCTGAATCTACCAGGTATCAGTTGGCTATGGTTACAGTGCAGCCAGTGCTGGCTGGTTATTGTGGGGAGAAGGAATGCTACTTAAATATGTAAAATATAGTCATTCATATTGAAAAATAATCCATCTATCCATCCATTATCTACACACCGCTTAATCCTCACTAGGGTCGCGGAGGGCTGGAGTCTATCCCAGCCGACTTAGGGTGAAGGCAGGGGACACCCTGGACAGGTGGACCAGTCTATCACAGGACCACACTTAGAGACAGACAACCAAGCACACTCACATTCACACCTACGGACAATTTAGAATCACCAATGAACCTCAACATGTTTTTGGACTGTGGGAGGAAGCTGGAGAACCCGGAGAGAATCCACGCTGCACGGGGAGAACTTGTAAACTCCACGTAGAAAGATCCTGGGTGTCCTCACCAGGATGCGAACCGGTGATCTTCTCACTGCGAGGCATCGGTACTAACCACCGAGCCACCTTGCAGCAAAATAACCAGGAAATGCAAATTGTTCAGTTGCATTATTTTTCCATTTAAAATTTTCCATTTAAAATTCCATTTGATTTGATTGTCTGTCAAAACAAAGGCCTACTGTGCTAATCATTAGCATGTTAAGTTTTGCTTAATTGTACATTATTTATTAATTACTGAACTGATTTAATTACTATTTTTGTGACACTTGCGGTTTTTTATATCAACTGGCTACATATGTGACAGGATGTATTGGCCAGAATGCATGCCCTTATTATTCCATCTAAAGATTCTAATCAGAAAAGTCACTGGTGTCATCTTGACTCTGCTGCCATCTAGAGAACAAACACGGGGACAGAGTGAGAGAGTGGTCCAACAGCATTTCAATTCTTACATCCCTTTGTCAGCTGCTTGGATGACTAATTTGGCTTTACAGTTCAAGAGCCAAAGAGCTTCAAGAAACAGCATACATTTAAGTAATTTGGGCCTCAGCATTTTAGAGTCGCTTCATCTCCAGCAGCCTCTTCTTCACCAAGAAAACAAAAATAAAATTAAATACAACTTACTGATGGATGGCAAAGGAAAGTAGGGAAGATAATCATAACAAAAAGCAAGCCAAGCAAGCAAAGTTCACAAAAAGCACAAAAGGAACATCTGAGAGAAAACAGTTACGTTTACAATGTGGGGACAAGACAAGCTTTATAGGAAAGAACACAGGTACGTAAACAAATAAACTCACAAAGACCGTACACATGCGCACGTGTGCACACACACACACACACACGCACACACACACACGCGCGCACACACACACACACACACACGCTGGCTGGGTAATAAGACAGAGGTGAAAGTGATCAGGGTGGAAATAGCAACCACTAAAGGTGGAAAAACACACAATGGGAGGAAACAAAACCATTCTACTCCAATCCAAATTCCACATTGACTGACTTACAGGCTTTGGGGTGCGGCCCGTGAGGGCTTAAGGCTCTCCCATTCTCAGATTGGTTACAAACAGGCTCCTGGTTAGCTGTGGGAAGGCTGCTAAGTTATTATGCAGTGAAAGCAGAACACTGTGGTACCCAAATTGTAACCACGTATGCCACAGAACTGCAATATTCCTGTTTTGATTCCAACCAACCACCTGTGTCACAGGTCACATCCCTGTCCTTCACCATTTAAAGCACTGAAAATATTATTCACTGTGTGTGTTCTTTGAAGGAGTGATAAAAGATTGGTATATTGGCATCATGATTAGCCTAAATTGCTGCTTGACGAGTGTAGTTGTACTGCAGAGTTGTGGAGCATTTTCTAATCAGTGACAGTGTGAACTGCCAACATGCTGACACAAAAAACATCTGCCAGTACTAAGAGCATGGCTTTACTCAGACTTTGGATGGCAGAAAGACTGCATGCGTGATTTGTGGCAATATGTTGCTGAACGAGAGCCTTAAACCTTCCAAGATGTTATGGCAGCTGCAGATTCCACATGAATAGCTGCAGACAAATCAGAGGGTTTTTTTGTTTTGTTTTTTAAAAAAATAAAAACTACAGAAGTGATGTCATCAAAAATGAGCCCCTCACAAAACATTTGCAGTGAATGACAAAGCTTCTTTTATTATTGCTCATTACACACAACTCAGTTATGTGTGAGAAATACCAGAACAATTAGCAATGACATCAGTGTCAAATGATACTCTGCTGTGTTGTATATGAGCACATGTAAAACAGCAGATTGTTGGAAAAATAAAATAGTAGTGTGTTTTTTTCCCAGTTCATCTTGATGAGATCACTGATATTCTAGGAGAAGCACAAGTACTGGTACACACTTGACCTATGACTGGAGGACAAATGAAGTTAGTTTTTTTTTTGTTCCTCTCTGTGAATGTGCAATGGTAAACAACCTTTGCCAGATTACGATCATTTATATGTAAGCATCAGCTTGATTGAAGAATGGTGTGGGAAATGGTTCCAACATTGCACTGGAGATATACTGCATGTTGACATAATTGATTATGATAGAAGTGCAGGCAGTTGCTGTTTGGAGTGCAGCCATATTGCATTGTACATTGAGAGTGCTAACTGTATAGAGCTGACTGCCGCATTCATTTGTCTGAGTTTGGGTAGCATTTTCTTTACTGCAGCAAAAAAAATAGAAACATGTCCCAGAGTGATGATGAAAAACAAGTCCATGTTTTTGTTAGCTTTAGGCTTAGCTGTTGCAATTCTTTATCATCATGATGTTTCTCTCAGAAAAACACCTCAACTCATTTTCAGGCTTTTGGCCAATCACAGGTCTTTTCAGACCAGAAAGACCAAGATAAAACAACTTCTGGCTTGACTATTTGTAGTGTTTTTAAGGTGGGTTCATGTACCTGTGCTTGTCTGTTGAGAAGGGTTTAGGGCAGACAGGAGGGAGCTGCAGGAGTGGGGCTGTATTTTCAAAAGTCAGACATTTTTTGTTTGTTTGTTTGTCCATTGCCTTTTCTAGATTCTGCCAACTGCAGTTTTAATGGAACAGTAACAAACTGTACCTCCTTACTGTTCCAGCTGCTGGGACAAGCCAAAAATCACACAAAAATCAAAATTTCTTAAAGATGACACATGTTTTCTATTTGTATTAAACTGAAGCATCCTCACAAAAACTGACTCAGTTCGTTTTGTCCAGTGTTATTTAAGATACTACCACTAGACTTGTAGACTTGTATTTGTCATTGCAGATTTACACGGTACAGTGCACATCAGAATGACATTACATTGCATTAAGTAGAAAAAACGAAAATACCAGGGACAAAATAGAGAATACAATACAGATGGTGGCAGTGTCCAGGATTTAAACATCCCGCTCTAAATATCTGATTTTGAGGCTTTGCCATGGTTTAAAGTTTCAAACAGCTTTAAACCTGTATTGTCTGGGTAAAAATTGATCTAACGTTTATACCTCTACTGAGGTGCAGTCAGAAGCTGCAGTTTACACTGCACCTGCGATTTAGTCTGAACCAGTCCTGTAAAAACCAGCTAAACTCCTGTGGAGGAGTTTTTGAGATTTAACTATCTCTCTCTCTCTCTGCTCTCAGCTTGTCAAGGCAGGCGGCTGGCCTCCCTGAGTCTGGGTCTGTTAAAAGTGTTCGTCTGTTAAAAAAGCTTTCCTTCATACTGTCACTAAGTGAAGCTCAGGGGAAATTGTTGGGCTTTGTTCAGAACATTATAGGATCTTGACATTAACATTTAATGCCCTGAGATACATTATGTTTCAAGCTGGCGCTATATACTATAAGTAAAATTGAAGTGAACTATAACTTAAACCTGCTGCAGGCCACCTTTAACTTATCCTGAAAACATATTTTAAAATCATAAATATTTCTGATAACATCAATACTTATGGCAACTAATACACAATAAAAATAAGAAAAATAGAAAAACATATCCATTTATGTAAATGGTTTTACTTCCTTATTAATGTAAGCTCTCTTAAGCTTGAACTTCGAAGAATAAAGCAGGTAGAAAAAAAATGCTAATTATCACACTTTGGTAGATAAACGCATTTTCAGACTGGACTTCTAAATGTTGTTTCTTGATTTTTATGAAAGGGTATCAATCGTACCAACTCTCATGAACTTTACTGGTACAATACATACAATAAGAACGAATAACAGAAATGTCTGGTGAGTAAATCCATTATCAAAGACAATCAAGAGTCACAATAAATATCAGTTATCATGAAACCATGTTTTTCTGACCATCAGCTCCTTTGGTTCCGAAGCCGCAGGTAGTGTTTGTAGTTGGGTATTGGGGGAGGCTTGTAGCATTTACATTTGTTCACAATTGTGGCAGCCAGCGCTTTCTTTGTATGTGTCCTCTGTCAGTCGCTTAATGATGGCAGTATCTGCTGGTAAAGCTCAGTCATGTGGAGTTCCTGAAAGGCTGCAGGCAGCTCTGAGAGTGACTGGTAGTTCTTCACTACAAAACCCTGGAGACTAACAGAAAGACACAGGGAGAGAAAGAGAGAGAGAGAGAGAGAGAGAGAGAGAGAGAGGTCATGTGAGCTGCAGTAACAGTGTGATCCAACACTAATAATATGGTCCTACAAGTCCTGACCTCATTCTTTATGTGTCTGTGATTCATACCAATGATGACGAGAGACACACCAAGGGCTTTCAATGAGAATCTTCATCATCCTCTCTTTGCATTTCTTGCCTGAAGAATCGACGTCCACCTTCACCGTCTTCAACCGGCGACAAAATTCCTGAAAAGAGATTATAAAAATCAGAAGGCATTACAAAGTGACACATAGTGTAGGCAGGACTCATTCATATTCAGAACAAAATGTACAACATTAGCTCACATTTCAAATGAGAACAGAAGCTACAGTTTGCAACTTGAGCTGTTACGTAAAGCAATTATCCACATAGTAACTATAAAAAGATTCTTTCTGAACTGTAGTGAGTTTGTTTGAATGCCATTGTAATACCGCATGTCTTGATTAAGATTACCCTGATAGAAACTCATACAAATTACCATGTCCACACCTTCCAGCCATTTGCTGCTCCACAATTTAATTTTTTTCAGCTAAAATTCCATTTTTGTTAGAATTACACATTGCTGTTCATTTCTGTCTACATTTCTGAGATGCAGCCATCTAGCTTAAGCAACATTTGTTTTTCTCTTCCCTTGCAGTTAATCTTAAATTTACTTGTATTAAATCTTCAGTTCCTCTGATCCATACAGACGGCCTGAAAAGCTTTCTGAAAAAGTGCCAATGTACTGTTTTAGTAGTGGAAAGAAACATATCCACAATTAAAACGCTGGAGTCAGAGAATATTTTTTCTCAAAAAATTAGTCAACATGAGCAAATTCTTAATCCTCACTAGGGTCGTGGTGGGACTGGAGTCTATCCCAGCTGACTCAGGGTGAAGGCAGGGAACACCCTCGACAGGTCACCAGTCTATCACAGGGCTACACTTAGAGACAGACAACCAAGCACACTCACATTCACACCTACGGACAATTTAGAATCGCCAAACCTGACCAAATTGATTCTCAAAATAGTTGCAGATTAATTTTATAGTTGACAAGGAATTGATTAACCTAATAATGACTGCATCTCTTCTTAAAGCGGACACCAGGAAGAAGTGGTTTATCTAGTTTATAGCAAATATCTTTCCTGTGGTATGAACCATAAACAAGCTTTATAATAGTCTCATTTTTGCTGTGGTTCATTAAAGAAATAGTGTCAGTAAGACTTTGTAGTGTTGAAAACGCGGGGCAATACCTTGATGTCAGGTTTGAATCCTTGCAGAATAACCAGTATGCTTTGTCCCAGTAGTAACGTCCCAGACAGCTGCAGCTGGTGGCTCCAGCGCTCCAGCAGTCCAATGTAACGATTTTGAGATCGAATGTGATCCAGCAACAGCACTGCAGTCCACTCCTCACCTTTTTCTGTCTCTTCCACTGCCTCCTCACCTCCTCTACAGTCCTCTGTCACCTCCACACACAGCTGCTGCAAAAAGCAAACACTGGTTACAACATCTGTACTGGTAATCAGATGTCCTCCACAGACTTACTGTTGCCTTGCAACTGCTTTATTTTAACTGATGATGTTAATTATTTGTAGAATCTTAAGCTAAAGTATATTCAACATCTGGTCACACTTCAAACCTACCGGGGGCATGAGACTGAAAATGTTGTTCAATGCTACACTACAACTAAACGTATCAAAATCAGAATATTTCAGACAGTAAGTGTAGCTGTTTACCTGTGAGCACTCTACCAGCTGGTGAACCATTGGTTCTGGGGCCAGGGCTGCAGCCCGATCCAGCAGCTTCTGTCTGATGCTGTGACACTGAGCCCTGGACAGACCCGTAGAGGAGATAGAGATGTGTGGGGGGGATGAAGGGTAGTCAGGGTGTAGGTGGAACACCAGTCTCACATCCAGCCCTCTATCTCCTACTCCAGCACAGTTGATTTGGACCACAAGCCCATCCTGAGCTACAAAGCAAGTAGTGACGTTATAGTGGTACTGTTCAAAGTCTCTGGATCATTTAAGTGAATAGAGAAACAAGTCAATCTGGAACATCTTGTCTCAGATTGATGCTACAAAACTAGTCCATGTATTTGTAAGTTCTAGGGTGGACTATTGTAATTCCTTATTATCAGGATGTCCCAATAACTCTGTTAAAAACCTTCATCTGATACAAAATGCTGCATCCAGAGTTCTGACAGGAACCAGTAAGAGAGATCCTATTTCTCCCACATTAGTTTCTCTTCACTGGCTCCCTGTAAAATCCAGGATAGAATTTAAAATCCTGCTTCTCACATATAACACTCTTAATGACCAGCTCCATCTTACCTGAAAGACCTTCATGTACCGTATCATCCTAACAGAGCCCTTCACTCTGCAGTTTTACTTGTGGTTTCCAGAGTTCCCAGAAGCAGAATGGGAGGCAGAGCCTTCAGTTATCAGGTTCCTCTGTTGTGGAATCAGCTTCCAGTTTGGGTTCAGGAGGGAGACACCCTCTCTACTTTTAAGACTAGGCTTTGTATTTGACAAAGCTTATAGTTAGGGCTCCTCAGGATCACCTGAGCTGTCCCTTAGTCATGCTGCTACAGGTTTACACTGCCAGGGGATTCCTATGTTGCACTGAGCTGTTCTCTCTTACTCTCCTTACTCTCTCTATTCCACACAGTTACACAAAACCATTACATGTCACTAACTTTGTGTCTTGTCTCTTGTAGTTCGTGTTTTGTCCTCTCGGTTGTATCTCTGGATCTACATGTCTCTGCTCTGCAGTCACTGGCCTCACCCATCTTCAAAATGTTCATTGTTGTCTGTATTGCTTGTCTGTTCTCCATCTGCTATCCCTGCTCTGTTCATACAGCCTGAACCATTTCACTTCGTTAAAGTATTTGATAGAGCCTTGGATTTATTTTGGAGTTGCACTACTGAATTAACTAATAAGGCCCCCTTTTGTGTATTTTTAGAGTTTCAACTTTAACTGTAATGTAAACGTTGTTTCACAATTACATACAGTTTTTCAAAATTAAATTAGACGGTCATTTTTGTTTTTACGATAACATTAAACAGTGGACAGAAAAACAGGTTACTGGCAGCCCTCGTCTGTAGCCCAGAAGTGAGCGAACTCACCGGACTGCTGGATGAGCTGGAACTCTCCTGCTCCGCAGTAAATGGACGATAAAACAGAAACTTCTTCAAGAGCAGCTTCGGACATCATTTATGGATCCGCATCATATCGTTCACACAGCTGCGATACATAACAAGACCATGTTGTTTACGGTCATATTAAAGTGCATAAACCTGATCTAGCTCATGTCCGTCCCTCCAGACCGTCCGGGTAGATTCATGACGAATTTAAAAGTTCCTCCCTGAGAAGAGCGCTGAAAAGACTTTTACACCTGTCTCTCCTCGCATGTTTCATTAGCACTTACAGTAACTATTACAAATCAAGGTAATCTAATGCTTGTAATTTTTTGATAACATTAATGCAGGTCCACATGAGTGGTTTGCTTGAACCAAATCTTCCCAGCATAGATTAGAATGTAATGCAGATCGGTCTATGCAATTGCAAACATTTTACAATAATGCAGTCAAGTTGGAGAAGTTTAGATGACCCTGACGCATCATTATTAAGAAAGGAGAAGAAAAAGGGCACACATTTTTTTTCTTTCTTTCTTTCTAGTCACACATTAACATCAACTCATTTTCAAAGGCTCCCAAAACTGTTGCCTTATTGGAAGCAAATAATAACAGGAGCTCCATTGTAAAAGGTCTGGACAGCTGACTGATAGAGGAGTTCATGGTTGCTGAGTGTCACCACAAGGATTTAAGAGACAGAAATTTATCAGCTCTGAAAGTGTCATCAGAAAAAGACTCCAAACAACAGTTGTTAATCTGCCTTACTGCTTTATAGTCCTAACCAGTGCACTGAGGCCTAATGAGTTTGGGACTGAGACTTTAGTAGAAGGGTCTCAACACATCCACACCCATCCACACTCTGACAAAACTTCTAACATGGCTACAGACTTGTTTTATTACTTCCCTTATCCATTAATTTAAAAAAAAAAATTGACAAGACAGTTCATTCTTCAAAATATCTATTCTACTTTTTCTTTTTTATATGTAAAGCACTACAGCTTATAATAATTGTGAGGCAAAAACTGGAGTGAACGTTTATTCTTTACAAAGCTAGCATGTAGGATTTTAATTATTGTCATGGTGCCTGAATAAGGATATATATATTATTATTATTTATGGGTTAATAAAGAAGACCTTGTAATGGCCTAATAAAATGCTCACTACTCAGTTTTAAGCCCATTTTCATTTGTGTGTGTGTGTGTGTGTGTGTTAGTGTACATGTGCACCACAGTGTCTCTTTGTTGGAGGGGTTGTGTTGCTCAACCTTTCTCTTTAAAATACCCCAAATGTTTAGATTTAAATCAGGTGACAGATCATACTTTTCACTTTTTTCTTCTTTAGAGACTCTAGTGTGGTTAAGCTGTGTTTTTTTTGGATGGTTATCATGCTAAGCTTCTGCAGACTTGGATTCATTTTGTCAGGGAATTTTTAGGTAGATCCACAGACATCCATGGTGCCACTGATAAACGTCATCTTTCCAACACTTTTCACACTCATGCAGACACATCATCACAATCCCACCTCCATGCTTTACTGTCAGGACCACATATTCACTGTGGTAGTCCTGACCAGGTTCACAACAAACATTCTGGACCCCACCTGAGCCAAGCAAATTTATCTTGGTCTCATCTGACCAAAGAATGTGCTTCAAACATTTGTGTTATTTAGAAAAGCTTAATTTTGTAGTTTAATGATGAAAGTTTTTTTTTTTTGTTTGTTTGTTTTTTGTTGTCTATGGAGGTTGATGTTACACAATGTCCTTCACACTGTCTGAGCCATCACCCTGATTTCCACTTACAATTACCGTACCCACCTGGAGGCAGTTGCCCATCTGTTTTTCAGAGCTAGATTATATGAGTAGTACACTGTCTGTTGCACTACTTTAGAAGAAAGGCCCCTGTAGCTCTGATTAGTGGCACTCTGCCCCATTCTATACGTCCTGATTACTGCTGCAACTGAATTTCACTGATTTTTAGTTGGTGACCATACTTCCTGTATCTTTTTTCCATCTTTGTGAAATCTCACAATCAGATGGCAATTCTTTTCCATGCAGAGCCATAATGCAGATTTGCAGAGAGGCACAGTTTATAGGTTACAAACTGAATAAGTTTTATAATCATGTTCATGCAGTTAGGCTGACTGGAATTCACAGGCCTACTCAATTTTAGTTTTTTCTTTCTTTTTTTTTTTTGTTAATTGTTCATTCGAGGAAATACTCAACTGTTTACTGTTGAGATGTGAGTCAGTTTTAATCATGTGACATTTTGTAACATTGCATGCTTATGTCGGTTGTATACTTAAAAACTCCTTCCAGACAGTGGTTCCATCACTTTCACTGTCCAGGAAAAGACGAGTCTATGAACAGCCCCACGTTCCAGGAAGTGCAGGAACAAGAGAGGCCAAAGCACTGCAGTGTATCAGTCAGAACTGTATCAATGATCCAGGCTAAAGAGAGCAAAACAGGGCTGACAGGGTCACGTCAAGCGTTGTCCTGCCCTGCTCCTCGCCCTGCTGGTGTTTGCTGGCAGTGTCCTGCAGGCGCTGATGAGAGGCTGTGAGTGTGTGAGGATGCTGCGGCCGCAGCTCGCTGTTTTCTGTGTCTGCTGCAGAGCCGACCATCCCGCTGACTAACGCGGCGCTGAGCGGCCAAACGAGCCTCCAAACACGGTGTTGAAGCTGAGAGCGGTCCGTGGAGCCTCGGCCGGTGCTCCCACACAGACAGGCTGCTGCTCTCGTTGCTCCTCCTCGACAGACTGTTTAATTCAAGAGTGCAAAGGGACTTCAACCGGAAACCAAACTTTTTTCTTCGAACTTTTTTTCTGAGGCAGAGGAGGAAAAAGAGACGACCCTTGGTGTCATAAACTACGCAGTTCCTTGTTTTATTCATGTACTTGTGCTGCTAGAACGAAAGCGTTTCTGGCGAGAAGAAGGGCGACGTCGAGTGATTTTGGGCGAGTCGACAGCCACATAACGGATCCTGGTCCTTTATCATGGAAGATGTGAGTAGACACTTCAGCCTCTGTGTGTGTGCTGCTCGGCTTTTGGTGACACTTACACATATTTTGGAGATGGACGGCCGTAGTTTGGACAGATTTGAATGAACGCAGTGTGTGATGTTAGAAACCTCGAGAGTAAAATACTCTGCGAGGGCGCGACCGAGTTCTTCGAGCAGCGTTCGGGCCCATAGAAGAGGAGGCAGAGCGGACTCGACACGGTGTTTATGTGGTACATGTGATAGTGATGACAGAAACAAGTTAGTTGATGGTTATCTAGCAATGCCAGCTTGTGTGCTGCAGTCAGCTGCAGTCCACATTCTTTGGTACAGAGCACCTGCCCACCTGTCAATCTGTTGCATCAACTTGTCAGATTCCACAACAAAGTCAAGAGAAGAGCTGCGAACTCCATTAAAAACGTCCATTTTAGCGTAATGGAGCGGCGAATGCAAACACAAGAGTTAGAACACACTCTTGGACCATGTCTAAGTCACAAGAGTCCTTTGGTTAAGAGGGTATTATTACAACCCACATTTCGCACTTACGTGAGCTGCATTTCAACACTAGGTGTTGGCTTACACACGCTGTGTAACGGTTCGCTTTGGCAGGAGACCTGGAGGGAAGCGAGAGAGGGGCACACTTCCACACAAGAGGGGGAATTACATCTAATGCCTGTTATTTTATTAAGACATCATTTTTGCGCTTGTCTAATCCGCACTGATACGCAATCCGAAAAAGTTTTAATAAAGTTCCTCATAACATTTAATATTTGGACAATGCTCATCTGAATTGTGATTTGGGGTATTTTTTTAACGGGGCTTGTCGCTGTATTCAAAAGCATTAAAAACCTCAAACTGGCACTAAACACAATGTACAGTGTGTAACCAATGACCTGCATGTCTTAATGACAGTTTGGTATTTTGAGGAAGCCACTCTACTAGAAAAGGGAAGTTAATCAGAAACATGTTGTGTTAAATGTTGTTTGCAGGGAGCTTGCTCTGTGCACTTTCATGCATGCAGCACCCGCCCTTTAAGTGCAACGCTGATCAAAATCACTCTGTTAGTTGCTTTCTGTCCCTTCAAAACCATATAACTAAATACAGCTTTTCTTTTTCATCTGCAAAATCTACCTCCTTTCCTACAATCACTAATCGTCCACTATTAACAAGTGTATTGCCAACTCAGGGACACAGAGGGGGACTTATAACTGAGACTTAACAAAAGTTAAATATTGAAACTGTTCCCTAGGTCAAAGTCAGGATAAAAGTAGTGCTTCAGTTCCAAATATACCTCTACCAGGTTCTAATTCTTTGTCAAGGTTCAGACATTCTTTTTCAACAGGAGCAGAAGGGTTATGAGATCACTTTTTGGGTGGTTGGGGCTGACTGATCACTCTTCATAATTTTTTTGTTAATTAGTAGTTCTTTAGTATTTGCTGGATGGCAGTGTAAGGATTTTAATTTGAGTAAATGTTGGCAGACTGTGGTGTTACTTGCTGCATTTGCTTTTGGTTCCTCACCTGTCAGCTCTCAGATCAGATTACCTCACAGCAACATTTCACTGTGAACATCATTAAATACTTGTAGCATCAACTGCTGTAGGCCATTTAAAACACAAACGAAAGAAACATTTCAAAACAAACACTGCATTCTGTACAATGAGGAACAGCACTGTGATAGAGTGATATCGCAATTGGACAAATTGAAATATTTGCTTTAAACTTTAAGGAGGGCATATGTGGACATTTTTCGATGTGAGAAAATGATTTCCAGTTTGGCTGAAGATTCCCAGAGTGCTCTCTGTTAGATGAAGGATGATGGACTGAAAGTGGCTGAAAAGTAACCAGACGCAAGGCACTGAAAACTCAGGTTATTCAGCTGTGTATTCTGTTGTGTGGGCTTGTTGAACACAACCTGCACGAGTGTTATTCACGTTATTAATAATAATAATAATAATAATAGTAATTTATCAGATTTATATATGGCTTTTCTAGACACTCAAAGACGCTTTACACCGCCGACCTTCCGATCACCGACTGACTCGCTCTACCACCTGAGCCACAGCTGCCCACAAACTGCTCTCAGTAGTGACACCACTGTGACACAAACATGTCCAAAAGTCTGTCCTCTGAATAATAGAAACAGTGTTCGCAGTAGCTGCAATGTGTGCACTGCCTGCTATATACTTAAATAGTTTCAAGATAGTCGTAGTGCTTTGCATGTAGAGTAAAGTGTAAAGCTGAACTGAAACTAATACTTGATCATGTTTATGGCTACCGAGTGTGTCAAGGTAAACCATACTAGTTGGCTGGCTCTGTTGTGGCACCTGTTCCTCTTTTATCGGTTTCTGTATTTTTATTTTGTCATTTCCCTCCTCGTTCAATGCTTCCCTCTGTCTTATCTTCTTTATCATCAGCCCCAAACTCACTGTAGTTCCTCCATGATGATCATTTGTCTCAGCTCTGTGAGTCATCCTTTTATCTCCATTCCAGTGACCCAGAGTGCATGGTGTGACGTGTCTGCCTGACCCGCTCAGCAAAGAGGAAACAGACTGCCACATTATGTGTCAGACAGAAAACAATTAACACTCACTCATGGTTGCCCTACTATCAAGCCCTCTGCTGCACAATGGATGCGTGTGTGTCCATCGTCTTACTGGGCCACCGCTGACAGTTTCTGGGAAAGTTCCTTCATGAAAAAGAAAGAGTCCTTACCATGAATGCCTGTGTGTGTCGTGGATATGTTTTCACACATCGACAACAAGTGCTTGAACAGTAGAAAGATGAGCTTAATGAGCTTCAGCAAGATGTTTTAAATGTTTCTGCTTGCTGCACAAGGGGTTAATGGAAGGTTAAGTAGAAATGTTAAGTCAAGTAAAGCTTTTGTTTCCTTATCTTTATATACAGCATTAAGTGGAGCAAGCCTGTTTATGGAACTATACGTCTTGAGGTGCATTTCAGTGAGAGGCACTGTATCACTGAGCCTAAATGTGCAGCCCTAACAAAGAGTGGGAGCTAAAAATGATGCTGCTTAGAAAAATATAAAAATATACAAACAAGGCTGCAACTGATATTTTGTTTTAATCTTTTAATCTGTCAATACCCTTAATAAGATAAAGAGTCAAACTGTCAAAATATAGTTAGTTGTTAGCTAGGTTGCCTTTTGACAGCCTGTTTAAGTAAAAATAAAAATATAATCAAATATAATGCAGTTACCCAGAGCCCACAGTTGGACCTTCACAATGCTCATTTTGTAAACCAACAGTCAAAACTTATAAATTATTTATAACAAATGAAAATGACTAAAATATTTAAAAGAGAAAGCAAAGACTTGTGTAAAATCGCAAACATTTTTGTAGGAAAAAAAACTCCAGTAATTATCACAGTGTTGATATGTTGCCAACTAATTGATCTATCCTGTTAGGAGTTTACATCTATAACAATGTCAATATTTTGTAGGCATTTCATACATGTTGTCTGTAAAAATCTTAATTTTGTAAAACATCTAGTAACTAAAGCTAAAGCTGATAAATGCAGTGCAGCAGATGTAGATAAAACCATAAGCCAGAAAATTGTATTTAAGTACTTTACCTGAATAAATGTACTTCCGCTACTTCCTGGTTTATGTGAGGAAAACAAAAAACAACTGCTTTGTTGTCAAAAAAAGTGCCACATATGGGCATTAGTAAGGATGAGAAGCCCCACCCTAAGAATGTGTTTTTTTAAGGTTGTTATTTAATAATTTTTCCTGCATTGAGTAGTCACAGTAGAGACAAACAGAGAACGTTTGGAGAGAGAGCAAGGGAATGACATGCAGTTAGGGCATACATGCTGCTGAGGGTATTTGTGCCTATGTGGTGTGCAGCCTGACCACTCAGCCCCGGCGTCCCCTATTTGGTGTTTTTTAATAGATTAAGATAATAGATTAAGTGACTAGCGGTTGCAGCTCTAAACACAATCTGTATAAATCATTTCACTTTCAGACTCAAAATCATTTCAGGATGAAATCAGCAACCATTATCCCATATTTGGCTCCTGACTGCAAGGACAAAGTGTTTGAGTTTGCACTTCTGAGCAGCTGTTTCTACATCGTAACAATCTCATGGGTATTGTAGTATTTAGAGCTGTCTGCCATGCCCTGCTACCTGGCGGAAAGCATAATACAGTGATTGGGAGCCTTTGTTGTGTCAATGTTGATCCATTTGATTATTCTAATATTTTGTAATGCCACTGGGTGTACTGTTACACTTGTCAGAACAAAGTCTGCACCTGTTTGAGGGAGAGCTCAAAGAAAAGCAGCCTCAGGAGTTTTGTTGTGGGAACTAATATGGCACTTTTACTTTGAAGAACACACTTCAACGTTGAAATAGAGTTAAACTAATACTACCATATTGAGAAATTTGGGTTATGGAGGGAGCTACAGCAGCAAACAGTGTTAGCACTGCATGACTATGACTGGACGTGACTAGTCAGCTTATTAGTCTGGTCAGTGTGTTGAACTGCTGTTTTTAAATATCTGTAAAGACAATCAGTCCACCTATCTCCATGCTTTCGTGACAGAAGTGTTTTGGATGTTGTTTGGGTTTTGTGGCTCTTTTTGTACACTCAACTGTCCTGGTTGTGACTTTTCTAAATAATTCCGGCATAAAGTCAGACGTGAGTCATTGTCATGATGGCAAGTTGCTTTATAGGCGTTCTTTTGGTGAGCAGTGCTTATTTTGCAGTGTGTTTGCAAAAGTGCTTCTGAAAACATGCTACACATGCAATGGAAGATGGAGCTAAAATGATTCACCAGTTAATTGATAAGCTGACCCACAGACAATTAGTTACACTAATTACAAACTATTGTCAGGATCCAGTTTCTCTGATTTGAGAATTTCCTCCTCCCCTCTTTTCTTGTCATTGTAAAGTGAATATGTTTGTGGCGTTGAATGATGTCTTGGACAAAACTAGACATCTGAGGTGGAAGTGACTCAGGCGGTAGAGTGGGTTGTCCACTAATCAAAAA